AAGAAAGAAAGAAAGAAAGAAAGAAAGAAAGAAAGAAAGAAAGAAAGAAAGAAAGAAAGAAAGAAAGAGAAAATCTAATCGAAGAAGATGGAGAAAAGCCAGTGCTAATGACTAAAGGCTTCCAGCAAAGTCTTTGTCAAGAGGGTTTTATGAAGAATGCTTGCTATCTGATCACTCTTCTGTTTCAAGTAGCTATGGACTCTGGTCCCTGAGGCAGATGTCCTGGCTTGCTGAATGAGGAGTGCCTGGCAGGCCCTGGAGGTCCACAGGCTTACCACCAAGAAGCAATGACAAGGCAAAGCAGCGAAGAAATCCCCTGGGACAAAGACAAGGAGCTGGCACAGCTGAAGCCAGGTCCCAGACTATTAATGAGGCCTGGTAAGTGCTCAGGAAAGGCCCACATAATCTCTGAACCTCCTCTTTTAGCTGATATAGGGAAAGGAGGGCAGAGAGATGGCAAGAGGGGAGCTTTGAGGGTTTGGGTGTCAGGTACACTAATGGTGCTTTCTAGCATACCAAGGAAACCATTCGAGTTAGAAATTACCGATCTTTTTACAGAAAACAGACTCCAAAGAGTCGAGCAACTTTCCCAAGGTCACAGGACATCAAGTGCAGAATAATCTTTTTCTAAGTCTAGTGTCATGACACGGCTACACTATAAGGCTTCTAGGTCATTATCTTCTACATGTGCTTTTGCAGAATTACCTGAGAGCTTTTAAAAACTATATATGCCAACTGGGCACACTTGGGAGACTGAGACAGGAGGATTGCTTGAGCCCAGAAGTTCAAGACCAGCCTAAGCAACATAGTGAGACCCCATCTCAAGAAAAATAAATTAATTAAATAAAATAAAGTAAAATAAAAATATACGTTCCCAGGCAGAGCTACTGTATCAGAAAATGCAGGAGCAGGGACCAGGAACCCACCTAAAATTCCCCCCCAGGTGATTGTTGTGGCTGTCCTACAACTAACATTTTCACTACTGGTGGTGAAGGAGAAGGGGAGAAGCTAATCAATTTATGGACTTCTCCAGGGGTCCCCGTAAGGTTTCTTCTTGCTTCCCTATCCAGCCCACACACCTGTTCCATCTCCCTAAAATAATGCTTTATTGTGAATGAGGAGGTTTTACGGCCTAAAAAACTCTTTATATTACATTGAACATTTCTAATTCTATCTCCTACATACTGGTAAATTCTTCTTTCCACAGGTGCCACTCAGGTTCAGGCTACCATCACTTCCTGGTTGGATTTCTGCAACAGATTCCCGGGTCTCCCTGCCTCCAGTCTTGCCCCCTACAATCTGTGGCCCACTGGGCCACCACAGTCATCTTTCATAAACATAGATGTGCTTTCTGACCGTCTAAAAAAATCTTTTAAGCGTGTCACTGTATGAGAATCACCTGAGAATCATTTAAAATGCAGATTCCTAGATTCTATCCCAGATTCACTGACTCAATCTCTCGAAATGGGGCCCCAGATACCTGATTTTTACGCCACCTAAGTGATTTTTATAAGTTACTAAGCTACCTACTGTGGTAGGTTAGATGTTGTTCAGCAAATATTCACTTCTTTCCCCAGACCTTCATAAATACATATATTTCCCTGTACCAAAGATATTGGGTTCGGTCCATGTGACTGGCTTTGGCCAATCAAATGTGATAAGGGCAGGTGTTTAAAATGTACTTGAGTGGTTGGGCTTATGATCTTGGCATCTGCTGTTACCATGAAAAGAGGCCCTAGGAAACCTGTTGGCTCCGGAAGACTGAGAGATATATAAAGCAGATTTGAACCCAATCCAAGATCTGGAGCGAAACCCACGGAGCCCAGCCTAGAATAGCTACGCCCCAGCTGGCCCATGGAAATGAGAACAAGAAATAAAGCTTTGATATTGCCAGTCACTGAATTTTGGGGTAGTTATGTACCATTATTGTGGCCATAAATGACTAATATAGAGGCATAGCCAATGTGGGAATGTCCATACATATTAACATTCAAACTCCTAAACCTGGTGTACGAGACCTTCCTTCGATGATCTAGCCACTCTGCTTTCTTTATTCATTCCCTAGTCTTATCCTACATTCAAGCCCCAATGATCTAACTGAATATTGTTTTTATATTACCATACCTTTGTACATATGGTTATACCTTTCCCCCTTGTCTCTTACTATTTCACTCCAGTAGCTTAAGACTTATTCAAGTGCCACTACTCAGCACATTGAGAACATTAAGTGCTCACTTCTCAGCAACCAGAAAACCAGACAGGAGAGCACTAGTGTAGAGGCTCTGAAATCAGTCTGCCTGAGTTTGGCTCCTATTTCTAGCACTTACCAGCAGTGTGACTTTGGGCAAGTTATTTAACTTATATCAGCCTCAGTTTCCTCACCACCTACCTCATAGTTTTGTAGTGATGAGGATAAATGAAGTAACATAAAGTGTTCAGCACAGCACAGAACCTGGCACACTATACAAAGTCAAGAGTGTCTTATCCTCCTCTATGGATCCCTCTGCATCTGGCATTAGGCTAGGCCCAGGACACTCAGTCAATGTTGACAATGTGAGTGAAAGATCAGAGGTATTCTGTTTTAATTGTCCTCACCTCAAACATGAACAAATGATTCCTTGCGTTGAATACACAGACACTACTACATCTGTTGGCAACAGTACCTGTTTCTCTATTAGCCTAATGGTGTCCTCCGAGACTGTATCCTTTGACTTCTTCAGCTTGTTCATTGCATTGGTGCGAACCTTCCGTAAAGAGTCTTTGGCCTTGTTGGTGTTCTGTTTGGCCAGTTTCACCAGCATTTCTCTGTGCTCTCTGGTTACTCTGATAAAAGACAAAAAACATTCAACAAAATCATTCTATACATTAACTGCTGGCCAAGAATTTCACATCACTCTGTCAATCAGTTCAGCAGTTTGTAACTTTCCTCTCTGTGGGCTAAATTCCTGGCATTTCCAGAAAGTGGAAAGGGCATGTATAAAGCCTTTAAGCTGCCCAACCATGGGTAAACTGGGTTTGACTTTGTATATGGTATCAAACTTCCCAGTGAGAGAACTGGGATTCAAATCCTGATCTTTCTGGCCTGTATTCTTGCCGCTACTCTGGTAAACTATTTCGAGTAAATCATGCACTGCTGCCATTACTCTGCTTCCAGGCAGAAAGCTCTTCAAAGACAGTAATATGAAGCTTGGGACTGAAAAGGACAAAACCACCAAAAGCCCATGTTTGATTTAAGGAATTGGCTGGAGCACTGATAACAAAGGAAGGAGTGACAAGAAAAGAGGCTGGGAAGCCATACCACAGAGAGTGTTGTAAGATCACAAATCATGTTTTACAGATGAAGGAAATGAGGTCCAAAGAAGTTTGGTATCTTAAACAAAGTCAAGCCCAGTTATACTCAAGCGGGCCTGTCACAAAAGCCAAAAGTCTTAGTATGACAACATTGCTCTGCTGCCGTGGGTACTGAAATGGACATGTTTATGCTTCCACAGTTCTTGCTGAGGAAGGACAATCCTAAATTCTGGTACATGTTCAGTGTGGAAGAGTGTGGAAGAGCTGTTAAAGATTTAGTAGCGGGCCGGGCGCGGTGGCTCACGCCTGTAATCCCAGCACTCTGGGAGGCCGAGGCGGGTGGATCACAAGGTCAAGAGATCGAGACCATCCTGGTCAACATGGTGAAACCCCGTCTATACTAAAAATACAAAAAATCAGCTGGGCATGGTGGCACGTGCCTGTAATCCCAGCTACTCAGGAGGCTGAGGCAGGAGAATTGCCTGAACCCAGGAGGCGGAGGCTGCGGTGAGCCGGGATCACGCCATTGCACTCCAGCCTGGGTAACGAGAGCGAAACTCCGTCTCAAAAAAAAAAAAAAAAAAAAAAAAAGATTTAGTAGCGTCAGCTGGGCATGGTGGCTCACACCTGTTATCCCAGCACTTTGGGAGGCTGAGGTGGGTGGAGCACCTGAGGTCAGGAGCTTGAGACCAGCCTGACCAACATGGAGAAACCTTCTCTACTAAAAATACAAAATTAGCCGGGCCTGGTGGCACATGCCTGTAATCCCAGCTACTCAGGAGGCTGAGGCAGGAGAATCACTTGAACCTTGGAGGCATAGGTTGCAGTGAGCCAAGATAGCGTCATTGCACTCCAACTTGGGCAACAAGAGTGAAACTCTGTCTCAAAAAAAGATTTAGTAGCATTTACCTGATATTTTCTTTGCTGAGAAAAAAAGAATTTTGAGAAAGAATAAGCTCTGAAGTGAACAGTTACATTTATGTAAATCCTTTTGAATTCAGCTATTTGAAGGTATTCTCAAAATAACAATGAGTTTAATTACTACTATTATTAAACCCCTCTATGCCACGTGAGTACTTTAAGTGTGTTACTTCATTGATCCACACAACTCGTCAAATGAGGAAACAGGTTCACAGATGTTAAGTGACTTGTCCATGAGCTTGAGTTAGAGAACTGGGATTCAAATCCCGATCTTTCTGGCCTGTATTCTTGCCGCTACTCTTGTAATCTATTTCAAGTAAATCATGCACTGCTGCCATTACTCTGCTTCCAGGCAGAAAGCTCTTCAAAGTAAGTAATATGAAGCTTGGGACTGAAAAGGACAAAACCACCATGTCAGGAGTTTAGGGATTTGAATCAGATCTTGTTACTTTTATGGTTTTTAATTCATTGAACAAAAATCATGCTGACATGTTTAGGTCTCTTTTTTGTTCTGCCAAAGCATATGTCAGTATAAGGAAGGAACAGGAAAATTAAAACTTGATCCACTGATTCAAAAAACTTAATCCTGCTGAAATACTAAGAGGGGCAGAAAATAAATGAATCTAAGTCTTTAAGAAACCTCATAAACTTCTCCAGAAAAAATGTACTGAAGTATTTCAATCTTGTATTTTCATTTTAAATTTTAAATAGGTATCCCACTGTTTAGAAAATGATTCATAAAAGAAAGAAAAAATTTATCTTATCAACTTTTCACTACACTGTTATATTTTAAATGGAAGAAAAGCATACATTTAAAAAATATAAAATGAGACAAAAAATCTTAAGAATTAATGGTTACATAAAGAAAACAAAATCAGGCCGGGCGCGGTGGCTCAAGCCTGTAATCCCAGCACTTTGGGAGGCCGAGGCGGGTGGATCACGAGGTCAAGAGATCGAGACCATCCTGGTCAACATGGTGAAACCCTGTCTCTACTAAAAATACAAAACATTAGCTGGGCATGGTGGCGCGTGCCTGTAATCCCAGCTACTCAGGAGGCTGAGGCAGGAGAATTGCCTGAACCCGGGAGGCGGAGGTTGCGGTGAGCCGAGATCGCGCCATTGCACTCCAGCCTGGGTAACATGAGAGAAAAACCCCCTCTAAAAAAAAAAAAAAAAAAAAAAAAAAAATCATAAGACATGTAATTTGGCCTTAATAAAATGTATTATTTTGTATTTATTAATGCAAATGTGACATTACCATACTATTAACAACAGACAGTGTCCAATCACTGACACTGTCAAAAATATTTCCATTTCAGGATGCAGAGGCAATAATCAAAAAGATACTAGAAGGGCATGGAGGAGTGCCGTGAGGAGGGGGGAAGGGAGAGAGGAAGACAAACCATACTGGGCACAGGGAGGGCTGAGAGGAAGAAGGGCATGTGTGTGTTGGTTCTGGGTAATGAGCTGAAAAGCATCTAAAATATAAGATCAGAAGCAGTTAGGATGATGGCAAGGCATTGGTTTGAAGTCAGACAGACTAGGTTCATACCTGTATCTATTGCTCAGAAATTGACTATCCTTAGCCAAATTACTTAATCTCTGTGAGCCTCAGTTTCCTTACCTCTAAAATGAAGATTAAAAAAGGCACCTTACAGGAGGATTAAGAGAAGCAGACACAACAGATGTAAAGTACCAATAAAGAGAGCAGCACATATAGCAGCCTTGAATAAATGATAGTTTATGAATGCTTTAATCAAACATGTTTAATTACTTCCTCATGAAATAATGAGAGCACATCTGTTTTAGAAAAGAAACATATTTTATTATGGAAATATTTTCATTCTTTTCCAAACCAGTGATTAATACATCTGATCATCTCTACCTTGCATTCCTGGGGTTCTGTGAGTATACAGCAGAGTGTGTACTCCAGGCTTCAGGATTCTGAACTCAGCTGGTCAGTTCTGAGCACCCACTTTAAGTAGGTGTAATTTCACTCATCGAGCACTGGCTGAGCCTCCTACGCTCTGTGCCAGATCTTGGGCCAGGCCGAGGAGCTCCAGAGGAGGCAGGCCTGGCTCAACTTTTCCAGAGGCTCAGACTAGTGGTGGAGACAAACTCATCAGCCACTATTTAGAAAAAGGATGACTGCCGCTAGGTCGGAAGGATGGATCTATTGTGGGAGGAGCATGCAGAAAACATAACACTTTTATCTTGAGATTTGGAAACTGCCTTAGGGATGCACAGTAACTTGTTAGCTGCAGAAGAAAGCCAAGTGCAATTTGGGAAGCACGGTGGGAGATGTAGTGGAGGGAGAGCATGAAGCTGAAAAGGGTACATCCCAGTCAAATATATTCTACAGGCCTGGAGTTTTCAAATTCTTCTTTAGCCACAAACCCCTGGCTTCAAAGAAAACTGAGGCAGAGGCCCCATTTGTAAAACAGATAAAAAGCGACTACTTCAGTTGATGAAGAAGAGGGGGTGGGCTCTATCCCAGGCTACAAAACTCAGCTCCATCGCCACTTCTGGGCCTGCCACTTACAGGCTGAGTGACCTTAAATAAGTTGTTTAAACTCTCTGAGCCTTGCTCTTCTTATTTGGAAATAGAAATCAAAAACAAACAAGTGAAACAGAGCCTCCCTTTCAGAGTTATTGTTGAGACTTAGACGAGGTAATACATGGAAAGCATCCAGTACAAAGCCTGATAGAGAATAAACACTCAGGAAATGTAAGCTGTCTCTGCTGTTGTTGTTGGTTACATTTTTGGGAGCCCTGAAGCATCTTCAAATAAGGAAGACTCTATTCATGAAAGTTTTTAATTAACAAAGAAATGACAGAGCAAAGATCTATGCTCTGGCAAGATGACTTTTTGAGATCTCACTAGTAATTTAACATCTCACAGACATTTTAAAATCCAAATGCTCTCAGCATGTAGCCCTGAAATTTTCTCTTTTCAGTATTCATTCATTCAATCAATCTATACCTTAATTCAACAACTATTTACTAAGCACCTACTATAAGTTAGATATTATGACAGAAAAAAGGGAGATAGCATTAAATACAGTTTACCATCTGGCAAGGAAGGAAGTCATTATATAAACACATGCAAATTAATGAATAAATTACAGTTGTAATATGCATCATAAAGATATATAGAGTTCTATAAAAATAATTAATGGAGCAAAGGAGTCTGACCAACCTTTCTTTGTGGGACCCCAGGAACTAAATGTGGAGATATTGAGGCTAAGTGATATTAACTTGCATAAGAGTTGGGGGGATAGTGGAAGATCATTCTCACCAGAGGGAATGGCATGTGTAAAGAATATAGCTCTTATAGGATGAAAAAAAGGTGACAGTATAGAAAGAAGAGGGCAAAGACTAGCCCAAAAGAGAAGGCTGGAGAGGCTGGCAGGAGCAGGGCTTTGCAAGCCCTTCAATGTCATAGTGAGTCTTAGTAGATCCACTGACAGCTGAATAAACAAATATGGTATATACATATACTATTATTCAGCCTTAAAAAGAAATGAGAATGTGATATGTGCTATCACATGGATGAACCTTAGCATAAAAAACATTTAGCATAAAAAACATTATGCTAAGTGAAATATGCC